AATTTATGTCCAGGTATTATAATAATTGTGTATTTTATTAATTTTATTTTAAAGATAATCATTGGTTTTAAATGCTATAATTTAATTTAATTTAATTTTATACAAAATTCAATTATTATAATTGCCCATCTTATTTTTCTCTATATGAATTTTATAATAATTAAGTTAAATTAAATTTTAATCAATTATTTCATCTATATAGGTGATGAAAATTTTTATGACAAATAATTTCTTATAGTTAAAGTTTCGTAATTTAGTATTTTTTCATAAAAAATTGCAATGTCACGAAAGTGCAGTAGCAGCACCCCACGTATGTAACACAAATATATGTGTATATATATATAAATATATATATATATATATGTATAACATGAATGATGAGAAGGTTCTGTCAACACACATATGGATGATGGTATTGAAAGTTGGAACTGGGTGTGGACCAACGAATGATGGGAAGACTTTTTTTCCCGAGAATTTTTCTTTTTAAATGGTGACTTTCCCGGAAAGTTCTCCCTCTTATTTTTCTCATTATCATCATCCTCACTTCACCAAATTTTTTTATACCATCGTCGACATATTATAATTAAATTAATTGAACCTTTCAACAATCTTTTTGAACTGTGAATTTAAAATATTTTCAGTAACAAATTAATTACCCACATATTTATTCTTAGTTTAATATTTAAATTATATGAACTATAATATTCAATCTCGAATTATCTGAAATAAATTCTAAATTTTAACAACAAATTAGGATTCAATTATAACGTAATCATAGTTTAAAAGTCAAAATAATTAATTTATTTAATTTTATATTTTGTCTACTTATGTTCAACTTGATTTTCATAATTAATAAACTTATCTCCTGTCTTGTCTTGCGTGATAAAGGGACAAATTATGGTAGGCAAAAAACATAATGAAAGGGAGGGCAAAGGACACGGTGTGGAAATAGTAATAACTGATTATTTTAATATTTAATTATCTTTTAATTAGTGTTTAATTATATTATTATTACTTTAATATTTTGGGGATTATATTATTTGCTTTACGTGTGCTTTTGTGCGATCAAATATGTTAAGGATACCAAACGACGACGTGTCTTCCATTTGGCAAATTGTCGGTCTTTTTAAATCTATATGTACATATCATGCATGTATATGGATTTGGTACATATCACGGTCTAGATTTTTTGCTTTTATTATTTATATAATTCTTTTTTCCATTACTTATAACCAGATTTAGTATAATACACATATATACATGTTTAAATATTCAAGTATTTTTTTATTGGTGAATTTAAAATTTTGCAACAACATTATCTACAATTTTATACAAATATATTTACGTGTACATTTTGGAGTTCATGCATTAATCTAACAATTTTTAGTATTCATAATTTATTTAGATTTTTTATTTAAAGACTTAAACTTTTTAATGGGTAAGAATTAAAATTTAATTTTATGGGTAAATTTGTAAATTTAATTATTATTAAAAAAAAAAAAACCCAAAATCACTTGTTGTTTTATATAGTTTCAAATAATGGTGGACCAATATTAATTAACTCCACTAAATCTCATACCATTTGAACTAGTTCGAAAGCAACTCTCCAGTTGTTGATTATATATATTAATTTATTGCAAAATACAAGTACATACATGAATACACACACACACACACACACACATATAGATATATTATAGATATGCATAGGTGTTATATGATTGCCAAAGAAAAAAAAAAAACTAAAGGAAGTACATTATCTAGAGTTGAAATTATAGGCAGTAATTGGTGGCAAAGTTGGATTGTTGGTTAATTTTCAATTTATTGAAGGAGACCAAATCATGGAATGCCACATAATGAATTTAATTTTGGCACCAATCATGGATATGTTGATTGCGATCTATCTATGCTGAATACACATCATGACATATGCTGCACCCTCAAGTCAAGAAATTAACCAAACACATTTGCCGTCCACAAAAAGTTGTCTATTTTTCCATTTCTAAATTCCCACATATATATATATATTATATTATATCAAGAATATTAGTGTATTAAGATGCTTTTTTCTCTTAATCTGGATTAATCGAGTCAGATTTTTGTAATTAATACTGTAAATGTAAAAATTTTGAACAGCATTACTAAAAAAATTATATCACACATTTAGAAAATCAAGATGGAGAAATATGTTTTAATTATTTTTTTTTTTTGAGAAAAGTTTTTGTGGGTAATGCTCTAAAAATATAAAGCAATATATGAAAATTCACTTTTTTAATATTACTTGAAGAAAAACCCTTAGCATTAACACCAAAAGATTTTAATAAAACAAGTTAATTTAACTATATAAAATACATGTAATTAGCCAATTAAAATAATATATATAAAATAAATAAATATGTAACAAAATTTAACGTGTAAATTATAATGTTAGGTAATTTAGAAAATATGATAACATAAAATCAATATAACATAATTTATGTATGCATGTGTGTGTGTGTGTGTGCATATATATATATATATATTAAATAAATAAATAGGTGATTGCGAAGGGGAAACTTAGTCATTCCTATTTATAGGCATGATGTGGGATATAAGGTGAAAGGCAATGGAGGTGTATATATATTTGTTGCTTCAACATATATATATGACCTACCTAATCAAACTCTTTTAGACAATATATGAAAGCAAATGATCAACAAAGTCCCATGTGATTTTGCTTCCTTTCTTCAATACATAAGAATTCTTCTTGAAAAACTATTCCAACTAACTAATTAGGTCGTACAAAAATTTTAGGTTTTGTTCGATTTATTTCTCATTCGTTTTAATTGTAAATTTTTATATCACTTAATTCATAATATAAACACTAACTATTAATTAATTAAATTGATCGTACTTAATTCATTTATATAAGATTATGTGTTTTATTTTATAAATATATATATATATGAAAATAAATCGATGTTTATTAGAATAAAAAATTAAAATTTAAGAATCATAGAAAAAAAAAAAGAATATAATAAAGAAAAATTTATTTACCCATTTAATATATGTGTGTGTGAGCATATTTTATGAAGTGTGCAAGTAACTTTCACTCCCTGTCCACACATGCAAGTTTCTTTGGAGAGCAACAACATCAACAACAACAAACACTTCATGTGAACATCGCAATTCGCCAACATGTGGGGGCGCGTCAACCATTTCCCCCACCCCCCTGTCACGTGACGTCCCAGATCTGTGGGCCCCATCCCTTTTCCATTCGCTTTACCCCTACATTCGAACCGACACAATCACTTCCCTTTTCTGTTCACGGAGTATATCGTAATTTTATTTAATTGGAATAATTATACGACCTGAGTTCAATTTATATTTTTTTTAAAAATAAAAAAATAAAATTATCCAAAAGAATGAAGGTGGCCC